AACTTACTTTGACAGTATGAGCTTTCAGTAATTTGGCTGACTGACTCTGTATTGTCATTTCCTACATGGCAGCCATGTCTGTCTGTCAAAAGCTATCAGCTTTTTTATTTTTTGATTGGCTGTCTGTTTTGGCCAGCTGTACGAACTGAAAGCATGCTCTAAGCATGCAGACCGATATTTACGTCTGTCTGGATTATTCCTTTACTTAATACATCAGTGTGAACCTGGGAATGTTATCTCTTCACATTTATATCAACAATGATACAAATCAAATATTTATAACGCGCTTTCCTTTTAAATGACGTTTGCCTAAATTCAAGTTTGGAGGCTGAAAACATGATTGAGCTAACAGCGAAGGCCATGAGGATTAGCTTCAAATGGGTTGAAGCCCATATTTATGTATGAGAAGGCGAGATATGGCAGAGCACGTTCGTCTCTGAATAGGTTTATCCTCATACCATTTAGAATATCTTATCAAAAACTCTTTTTCATACACATTTTGTTTGCTGATAGATTACAACACTGACTCATGAATACTGTTTTTGATGTAGATTCATAAAGGAAGATTCCACGTTGAACAGCAGTGCTTTTAAAAGGCCTGTTCAAGACAAAGTGATAAGAAGAAGTAAATGTGCATGATGTAAAAAGCAAAAGAGGAAAACAAACCAAACCTGACTTACAAGATTCTTGAGTTTTTTTTCTGTACCTTTGTCACACATTGTGTTTTATAGTACTATAGTTTTTATGAATTCTTAAAACACTTTGTTAATGGTGAAAATGCTGCGTTTACATTGTCCGCTGTCAGTAGTGTTAATGAAAAACTCATTTTGAAGCATCTGTCCTACAGTATAACGCAAAGATGCTTCACACAGAGAAGCAAAACACTAAATTAATATTAATCACAAAGTAAAGGAAAAGCCAGCTGAAAAATCCTGGCTAAAATGTTTTATATTCTGTAAAAAAGCTACTAAATGTTGTAAACAAACAGCATCGGCGTCACACCTTGGACTTAGAAATTGTTTCATTGTTTAAACGTTAGCACTGAGGAAACACAACATCTTTACATTTTTTACTGACCATATGTAGTGGATTTGAATGAAAGTTTGTCCATGATGCAAATGGTGTTATCTATCAGTTTTATCCAAACTTCCAGACTAAATTATGTCTGTAGTAATATACAGTGCCAGGAAAAAACTTGTGTGAAGTGTAGATATAGAGTATTTGGAAGTAAGACGGCAGCCAGTTGTTACCAAAGCCGTTGCAGATCCAGACAGCTGAGATATAACCAGAGAGGATGGAACTTTAATCTTGTCACCGTGTAAGTTTCTCTAAACATTTTGAGGATAATCATCTCTTTAGGTCATAAAAACCATTCACAAAGATTTTTGTATTCACACAGACTAACAGCCATGCAGAATATTATTTACTCTGCAGCAGAGCATAAGGAAGAGGTCAGGGCACAAACAGACTACTCCAGCTATAGGTCAATCCCTCAGGGGAGGGCTGAAAACTGGGATTTTGTGCCAGGCTGAGCAGCCATTTCTCAGGGATTAAGAGGGTGAAAACCCATAAAGGTACAACTTAGCCAGTTAAAAACACTTTCACAGCAAATGTACAAATGCTGAATGTGATGGCAACATAATGGATTGTTAGAGAACTACACAGAAATGTTCTTAGCCATTTCTATCTAACTTTACAAACGTCAAGTAAGGAAACAAGCTTGTGATGTCGTGAGGGAAACGTCAGGGCCAATGTTAAATGACATCTACTGTTACCGAGTTCAAAGTCGAGGTTGGAATGTGAACCTGAATAAAGCAGAGTCAGGGCTCATGGCTATATTAAGATAGAGTTGGTCCCTTTCTATTTGGTTGTACACGTGAAAGGAAAACAGGAAAGATTGATCACCACAGCTGGAATCTGACCCTTCATTGGCAAGTCAGCCATTTGCAAAGCTGAGGTCAGGGCAGGGTGAGAGGTCACAGTCTGACAGACAAGATTAAAGGGCAGGCATAGGAGTCTTATCAGCAATATTTTATTTATGTATACTTGTCTATCCTCATGTTACAAAATTAAGAAACTAGGAAGTAGTTGGCTGAACTTCAGTTGTTAAACAGATCATAAAATATTGACAAACTTGTGTTTATAGCTGATTTACTCTCAGTCAGGTGCATCTTTGCATTGGCTAACATGCTTTTGCACTATGAGTGTGGCTTAAACTAAAACTACAACTTCATTTCAGTGCAGTGATTTCATCTCTTCATTTTATTTTCAGATTCCTGGATATAATATACAAGTTAACCAATACTTTAGCAAAGCTGGAAAATAACTACGGTAAGTACATCTACTTAAGTACACTTTTGAGGTGTTTTTATGTTACTTAATTATTTTCATTTTCTGCTACTTCACACTCACTCATTTTAGAGAAAAATATTGTACTTTTTACTCAGTACATTTTTATGATAATTTTAGTTATGGGTTATTTTTCAGAATGAGAAGAATGAAACAAAACATAGTATAATTAAAAGACTTTAGTGGTCCCTGATGGGAAATCCACAAGCTACCCAACAGTATGCAAGATACTTCAAATAATGAGTATATAAGGTAGCTAACTATATACCTATGACACATATTTCTTCAGTAGGCACTAAGGGGCCTGTTGCTGTCTTTGACAGACTTTGGTCTTTGCATAAGCTTCATTAAAATCCCTAGAATGACCCAACCTTATCTAAAAAATACAAACTCACTTGACTCAGATTCATATCTTCATTGCTCAGGTCTCAGCCTGCTTAATGGGGTATGGGACACCAATATCAATCTTAATTTGGTGAAAGCTGCTTTGCTTCATACAATGGAGGATGACAGTGGTCTCTGTTCAGTGACACATTCTTTGGCCCCAGATGTCAGCACTTATGTTAGAGCTGCACTGCTATATAGCCAACTGTCAGGGAGAGTGGTCTAGCTGCCAGCAACAGAAGCCCTCATCTTTTAATTTCCTCTCTTGGTTTCGCTCTCCTCTAGCTCGCCCTCCACTCCCCAGCTTCCTCATCCTCACAGAGCTGGCCTCTCAGGTTTCTGCGGCTGGCTGAAAAGAAAAAGAAATGCAAGACAGTACAAAATAAACCAGAAGGTTACACCAGTGTCATTTCTGCCACCAGACACCAAGGGAGGCATTCTAATCAGATGTTTATATTTCACATCTTTTGACTCCTACCCATGGGGGTGAGAGTGTGTTTGCCAGCTCATCCAGCAGAGAGAAACAAACACAGCATTTAAATGATATTACTAAGAATGAGTGTAAAATTATCAGATTGAAAAGCCAGAAAGGTGTATGATTTCTCAGTCTATCAAATGAACACAAATAAAATGCATTCTGCTTCACTGAAGGAGAAATCGTTGAATAATTGTGTAAGGTAAAGGTCGATCTACATAGATAAGAAAAGGGGGACACCTCTGCCTGCTTTGGATCTGCTGGGTAAAGCCCACTCACGAAGACAGACGACTTCAGCAGAGGCAGTTTGATGGTCAAACTACAGTATGTGAGTGATGCGTCACATTGTGCTATGAGCTCCAATACAGTGCCCGAGATGGAGGGAGACAAAGGACACATGCACTGGTCTGTAACCTAAGTCAATGCATGTCAGAAAAACACTTAGCAGGTATTAACTGACAGAGATTCAGTCTTCACTGGGTAAGACAGTCATTAGTCACCAAGGAATGGCTACCACGCAATTTGGTAGAGTGACTGTGTAATGTGGACATTTCTACCTTTGGTGACTGTTAGTGATAGTATCAAGACATTTCCAGAAAGCAACGCACACCATTTTCACCCAACCCACTCAAGCTTAGATTTACTCAAGACTATATATTGGCATTGAACGTAATCTTTGGGTTTTGCAGCGTCGTCTAGCATCAGTCGTTCGTTCTGTCACTGGGTGAAATCAAAATCACACAGAAATTAATGGAAGAGAAGTGAGTTTACAAGACCTTTGTAGCTCAGTCATCACCTCTGCTTGAGACTAGAGCCTCAAGGCAACATTAGCAGCTACAAGCATAATATCCCTGAATCTTTGACCAAACTATAAGCAGTTGAACTGCAGTTTGAGTTTGTAGGATCTAGTTTTTGACAAGGAAGAAAACTGCACAGAATGATTTAACACACCTCTGGTTCTGCTGTAATGATTTTGATTCCTTCTCTTTTGTTTTAACTTTTCATTGCGTATCAGAAATGATATGTGTGTGCAATGTCCAATCAATGTTATGCTTTTCAGCTATGAAGGTATTTTGGCAAATATGCAATCCAGCAACCTCCATTTTCATATGAAACAAACATGGAGCATTAATACTAATAATCCGGAGGCTTTTTTCAGCATTCCATGCTGCTGCCTCCTGTGGCTGGAAATAAGAACAAGGCTGGAGAGAACAGAGTTGGTAGGCCAGAGAACCGAAACATTAAGCTGAGAGATGATAAAACAGTCAGGGCCCAACTGCATGGTTCTGATAAAAATTGCTAAATCGTTGTGAGTTTGTAACATCAAGTGCTTTTTACACAAATAAATTGTTTAGATAAAATGTTGATGTTAAAGGCATTCCACCCTTAACAGCACACGCGGTGCCCTCTAGTGGTATAAGGGGCACAAAAGGAAAAGACTCAAGAAACCCCCCCAAAAAACTCAGTAGAATCAAACTTCCCATTTCCATCCCATCACACTTGGCTCTACTCCTACACAGAATCAAACTTCATCCTCCTCTAACTTCTCCCAGCCAAAGTCTTTATTGTCTTTATTAGTGTTTCACTCATTAGCCAGTGTGTACTCAACACTGCAGTTTAGCTCATCGTCAGAGCCATCACTCCCTCCATTATCATCACGGCTAATTACACGTGAAGCCAGCAGCCATCAAAACAAAAGCTACTGTGCCTTTAAGTCTTTACCCTGTTCTTTAATTTTTGGAGCGAGTGGAGAGAAAAAAAAAGGCAGGCGAAACCACACTGCCACAAAACACACGCACACTGCCAGGCAACCCGACACTGCCCTTCCACACAAGTACCAACACACTAACTGAGTGACCAGTGTCCAGCCGCGTGAAGCACAGAGTCTACTGTGTGTGGATGCGTGCAGCCCTCTGGACTTGGTGGGAGGGGGAGAAGTTTCCCCAAAGACAAGCTTGGATCACTGAGAGAGACGATGCCTTCCTCCCGCAGCCCAGTCTCCCAAGCTGCTCAGTGGATTTGCTGATCCTCGAAATTATTTTCTCCAAGTCATTTAACGGGACTGAGGAGAGATTTTGAGCCAGAGGATGCTCCCACAGGTCATTCGGATTCTGTATGTCTTGTCTTTCTGCTTTTTCCAAGGAGGCTTTATCAGGTGAGGCGCACCAACGTTTATGATTTTCTGTTTGTGTGAGTTGTTTTCTCTTTCACCAGCTGCTTTACATCAACTTTTCAACCATTACAGTCGACACTACATCATATCAGCAGACTTTTTAACGTACTGATGTATCTCTTTAGAAAAGCATATGCGCAAATGCGTGTTATTGTGGATACGAAGTAAAGGTTTGCGGTCAATAACTAAGTAATCACAAATATTGCTACTATTTAATACAATATTATTAAATGAGAAAAAGATTCGCGGCCTTTTATAAAGCGATAATTCACGCAGCCGTGGGCATAATTTCACCAAAACAAAACAAAACAAAACAAAGAATCCGGCCTTTTACGCACAAACGCTGATCGTCGTAATGAAAATCAACATTTCAGAGTGTGAAAACCGGCAGCAAATAGAAATGTGTAATAAGTCTATACCCACAAATTAACAAGAAATATCATACACAACTGCATTAAAACCTGTCCGGAGTACTTGTGGACCTCCCGATTGGATTACAGGATTAACTGGTGGCTTTTTTGAGGAGGCTAAGTAACGTTTGACTCCAGGATATTCATGGGATGATTAACTATTTACCACCAACATATGAACAAAGAGTTCTTTGGGGAAAATGTATTCATTGCATACTAAATGAAACCTGAAAGACGCTTGCATAATAAGAATTTGCATGTTTTTTCTTCAAAAACAGAAAATGTGTTTGGCACTTTAAATTATTGTAAGAAAACTGAAACAATCTCCAAACGAAACAGAGGAAACAAACGCTCCTCTCTTTCGCCCTCTCTTCCCCTTTATTCTGTGCTTGTCCTACCACCACACCTCATGTGTCTCTTTCTGTCCTAATTTACTGACTCAGTCTAGCTCCAGCAACAAGCTCCCTTTTCTCTCTTCCCTTTCTCCTCTCCTTCCTTGCTCTCTCTCTCTCTCTCTCTCTCTCTCTCTCTCAATGGCAAAAACCTTTATTTGCAGTGAACACTTTCCTTATTTCATGCCCTGCCAACCTCAGGTGTGAGCAGAAGGGAATTAAGATCTGCATAATTCTGGAGCGGAACAGAGCTGTGACTCCATGAACCCAGGGGCGAGGAGAGCAGCCCTTAGCCTGAAGAGGAGTCAACTGACAGCACCCCCTCGGAGAAATTTTATGCTCTCTTTCAGCCTCTGCTCACCACGTAGGAAGGGAACGAGGAGGAGGAGGATAGAAAAAGGAAAGGATCGTGGGGGAAGATGAAGCCAGGTGTAAAAGACAGGCAGACTCTGACAGAGGTGTGCAGAGGTATGGGAAGAGGTGGAGGGTGGGAATAGGAATGTAGGAAATTGGGATAGAGAGAAATACAAAGAAGGTATTGAGAGGGAGGTTCATTTAGCTGAAGGTATCAGAGGAAGAGAAATGGTTCAAATAGCAAAGAGAAGTTAAGGTGAGAGAGGATGGAGACAGGAAGTGTTGTACGATTTATAAACATTGTCATGTGAAATAGTGCACAAGCTGGATGGTTGTCAGAGTAAATGGGAGCAAAGGGTATACAAAACAACAAAGTTCATATCGTCTGAGGGGCTGACAACTTTGGAGAGCTGTGTGTGTGTGTGTGTGTGGAGGTGTTTGAGAAAGAAACAGCGTTACGTCTTGTGTTGTAGCAACATTCTGTGTCTGTTGGACTTGAATGTCAGCTCAAAAAGGTAACCCTGAATCTGTCTGATTGCCTGAACCTATTCTGTTACACTACTGACTTTCTTGGAGTGTCTCAGCAAGTTTCTTTATTGGACCCCTAAAGGCTGAAACACAGAATAAAATGAAATTTGCTTTGAGAAAGTGATACGTTGCATCAGCTACAGTATAGCTGCTGTGTGCTGAGATGTTGGTTGAAATAGCTACATTTTTTCACAATCCCACATTTCACCATTGCCTACGGTTGAAATTTATGTAAATGTTTGAGCTTTTCTTGGTTTACGTTGCAGATCAGTTAGCTTGAGGCTGGAAATGCTGAAATAAAGGCTGGTATCAGTGCTGATTTGATAAAGTTCCGGTGATACTGTAGAACCGATTGTTGCTAAAAGACCTTTAGACTTTCTCAGCTGTGCTTTTTTACTCTGACAAGTCAAACTGTTGGCTGTTAAGAAGACATATCAAGCACTACACATGCTATATGCATTAGCAGCAAAGGGTGGAGTGGCTTTGCCTAAACAGAATCAGCCACACAAGATCTTTGAATAAAATAGACTAACTTGCAAAAGTCTAATAATATGTAAACAAGATACTGATTCTGAGCAAATATTGAATGCTAGCTTTTTCAGTGCATGGCAGTTTGATTTAATGCTATTGAAATGTTTTGCTCCAGCTGAAGTTAACAAGTGATTAGTGGGGACCATAGAGATGCTTGATGTAACTCTGTAATATGCAAAGCTCCCCAATCTGGTATGGAGCTTAAATTGTACTAATTGCATTTGCTCACAGTGGGATGTAACTGCAGTGTGGATTTGTTTGAGCTTCCTTCTAGTACAATGTTGTCATATAAACAATGCAAACTATAGCAGCTCATTGCATTGAAGTGAAAGGCAGAAGTTTGCGCTGAGAATCCCTGTTGTCCTTGCCTCTGATCAGTGAGAGAGAGTGAGTCAGAACTGGAAAAATCAGAGAAGAAGCCTCATCATTCAGTGGAACTGTGGTCACAGACCTGATTATTGGGTGCCCACTTGATAGTGCGTTCATGTATTTCTGCGTGAACATGAAAGTCAGAAGTACAGTAGATTTTAAGTGTAAAAAATTCATTCAAGTTGATCATAAATTTAAAACTATGGTTCACATCTTCAGAAAGTGGGTCAGTAGCAACATTATTGAAATAAACAAACTTTGAGTGATGTCTTTCGAGACAAACAATAGAAAAATTGCTTTAACCTAGTAGGGGATATAATAAGGAAAGTTATTTTTACTTTAGTCAGTGAGCCCTCACTGCATTGCTGAGACAATGTTCTGTGGGAGTGTGGAATGTGCTGTCACTGGGCTTACAGAAAATAAAATCCTCCCAAAAGTGTGAACATTGTTAAAAGGTATTTGAGATTTGCATTTCTGGGTCCAATTTGTTGTTTGGTAGCAAGGTTCTTGTACCCCCGTGGATAAGTGGCCCAATTAAGATGATGCATATGTCCCTAAGATACTGTGACAAAGGGAAATGTTCAGATATAAACAAATCAACTTTAAATGTCAGATTTCATAATCAAAGCACACGTTCTAGACTCCAGTTTGCATCAATGTGCAAAATGTGTGCTCAAGGCTGAGAGCTCATTATTTTCTGGTTCAGATCTGAACTGTGGTGAACAGTCCCTTTTCAATAAGAAACAGAACTACTTTTTGATCTGTGGGAACATAAAATCCATTATTCGCAATTAAATTTGGCATTAAAAAATTACTGTGATTAGTTTTACCACTCCTGTCTTACCATTCTGAGGCAAGAAACTACAGGCCAATATCAAAGCTTTCTTTTATGTCAGAAATCTTGGAAAAAGCGGTAGCAGGACAGCTGATCACTTTTATGGAACAGAATAAACTATTTGACGAATTTCAGTCAGGGTTTCGTAAGATGCATTCTACTGAGACTGCTTTACTTAAAGTCTCAAATGGCAATGATGACTGCAGACTCTGGTCGATATACAGTTCTGGTTTTATTAGATTTAACATCTGCCTTTGACACTGTGGATCATGGAATTTTGATAAATCGGCTACAGTCTGAGTTGGGGTTTTCTGGGTCTGTCCTTAAGTGGTTCTCTTCCTATCTTAGTGACTGAACATTTAATGTGGCTATTAATAATGTTATGTCTGAAGTGGCTGCTCTGTCCTGTGGAGCTCCACAGGGGTTGGTCTTGGGTCCTCTCTTGTTTTTATTATATATTTTTCCTCTGGGTCAGATTATCCAGCATTTTAAGAATGTGTCATATCATTTTTATGTTGAGGGTTTTAAAAAGCAGCTGAAGACACATTTCTGTTTGTTTTTTAATTGATTGGGTTTACAGATTTTTATTAACTGTTTTTATTCTGTTATTTGAATTGCTTTTAGGTTTTATGTATATTAATTGTGCTTATTACTATTACTATTCTGTGATGTTGTGAATGAAAAGTGCTATATAAATCAAGTTTACTTACTTACTGTCTTTGAGTGACCACTCATGCCCCATTTCAGCAATCTGTTATTAGGGATTATATCATTGTCTTTATATCATAATGGCAGCTCTGCTCCCAGTTTGAGCTTTTCCCAGCTGCTACACAGTTTCTGATAAATCGCAAGCTAGGGATCATGAAGTGGCCTGGTCACACCAGCATTTCCAACTGCAAAACAAAAGCCCTCAGCGAGCACACATACCTTCGCCAAGACAAAACATTCACTCACACAAATGAGTCCCTCTTGTGAAAAACGAGATATAGAACAATGTAAAATGCGTCCTAAAATCCTTGCTGCGGATCATCTTTTATGGTGTGATGATAGGCAGTTACACTGTGCCTCTTACCTGAACATTTCAGGGTTCTACTATAATTACAGCTCCAAGTTATGGCAGAAAATATGTGCTAAATGGGGTTTTCAGTGTTAAATTTAAATGGCTGTCCGATGTGGAATCTAGATCAGATTTCAGACGAAAAATTATTTTAACTTTTGATGGAGATATGATTTTTTTTATTTTGCCCCATGTTAAAGATAGAAGTTTTTTCTTTATTTTTTGTGACCTTGACCTTTGACCATTTTTAGTCAAAATCTAATGGTCAAAATCTGTCCGTGCCAAGCATGCTGATGATCCATCCTGCCGTTTGTCCGTAATCTTGCTAACCAACACAATGAACCAAAAACATAACCTCCTTTGCAGAGGTAATGAAATCAATTAATTCCAGGGAATAACCATAAGCTGGGGGTTGTCATGTGGAGCAATTCTATGTTCACACTGAGTCCAGTGAAATGCAACTCGCTGTGGCATTTTTGTGAAAAGGATTGTGTTGGCTGGGTGAT